ATATTTCAAAATATCCCAGCAAAGTCGGTTCAGTTCTACTTGTGATAAAACTGATGCAAATTGATGAGCAGTTCACTGACGTTTGATCAATGCGAAATCGACAATGCATATATCCCTTTCGGCCCCATTTTACTGTTGGCCAGAAATCTTTCGGAAATTTTGCTTTACGCAACATCCGACATTTCATCAGATCTCGTTCACGAACATCGAATACTTTTTCGAGACGTACAAACTGCTTTGCCACAAAATCGTATTGCCGCACTCGTGGTAGTGTCACGTCCCTGATGAAGAATAGTGAGCCCAGGGCCTGTAATATGCACGCGTAAATATGCTTTATCATATGTAGAATGCAAAAAAAAAAAATACGTAGTTTTCTCAGCTAGCTTGCCGGCGTGATTATACCTTTTTGCATGATTCCATCCCGTGGAAAGATCACCTGTACTAATTATTTCCTGTTCCTTCTATCAAACCGTCAGGAATATCACAAATACCAAATCCATCTAGTTTAATCGATGTGAGAAATCCTTATTAATGATAACTGGAATGATCTCAGAAGCCGAGTACAGTTATTCCAAGATTTTCGATTTTTAGCTACACACCTCCAGTTAATATCCAACGCTTGTTCAGTATCAGTCAATACTTTAAATGCTGCCTAAATGGTCGTTTACTCACCCGCCAGTATCGCTTGTTATTATGCGATGTCTATTAGCTGTCAGCATAATTACTCATCGATTTCAACTTTTTTCGTTTGACAGCTATGATACGCCGGTACGTCCCTTATTCGACCGATCGTCTGATTGCTTGCATGACTATGACGAAACACTAGCATTCTTCGACCCACTGTTCTCTCCGCCACAAACAGAGCTCATTCATGAATCACCAGTGACCACGTTTCGCATCCATACGTCACTGTTTCCAACACAGTGGTATTGAGAGATAGGCGCATTTCTTCAGTTTGAGAATACGACGACATTATAAAGTTTGCGCAAGCTAGCAGCCAGCCAACGGCTGGAAATTGCAGCGCTCTCTACTTTTTATTAGAGTGGACATGATGCGCAGAGCTGTTTACTGGTAATTAATAACTCGGGAACATTCAAAGAGAATGCGATCACACGTCGAACAGGCAGCAGCTATTATTGGAGTCTAGAATCGAAGAGGTTGGCATATCTCGTTTGGCTTGTGGAAGCATCCCAATGGCACTACTAAAATGAAGCACCCATACTGATTGTTCAGACGGTCTTAGTCTTGATCTAGATAATGTAACGCATTGTAGTGTCGGTGCGGTTATGGATTTTAGCTAAACGTGTTTCCAGAAGCACTAAAATCGCCAGTGTTTAGAGAAGTAGGCTGTTTCTCTTCGTTACGGTCTTTGTCCTCTCATTCGAAGTCTGTAGAGAGGAAAATCCTAGATCATACAATAGATTCCGAGTTGAATACACTATAGAAAAGACTGTTCTTTACTCGCCTCGCCTTCGCTTGGTAGGTAATCCACTCATTGTCATGTTCTTACTGAGTATATAGCTTTGTTGTAGATTGCTCATTAACTGTGTATGGCGAGAGGACGGGGCACGTCCACCGCCTTTAAATTGTTTGTAAATGTACTGTATTATTTTGGTGGCGTTGCAGGGCGGAGATGA